AAGCCATGTCAGGCACTTAAGTCTTGTTTCTCTTTCTCATGACTTCCAAAACGCAGAGAGATCACTCAGTTTTGGAAAGTCAGACAAACCCACGGAGGATAAGCATCCAATCACTGCATCAAAACAGAGGTTAGTAGAATAGGGCATCTTATCCCCCAAGACAACCCATAGTGTATCCAATGTGATCAACTTGGGGCATAGCAACTGGTGTCAAACAAGGTGATCAATTAGCTGTCCTGTTTTGCCGAGGATTTAGAGGCATCCTAGGACTTGGGACTTACAATGAGAAAAAAACCAGGAGAGTCCCAGGCCAACCAGGGCCATCGGTCATGCCGCTTACCCAGCAAGAACTAGACAGTCAAGAATTTTGGACTGTCCTTTATCTCAGTGAGAAAATTTTCCCCTAGATGCACAACAAAAGGTTCAGATGTGATTTTTTATGCCCTTAGGCTGTAATTACCTTTCTATATATGTGTGTGTAAAATTTCTCTAGAGTCCTATCTACTCACTGTGTCTTTTTGCTCCGCACATGTCCTCTCTCAAAGTCACTGATCTGGTATAGCTCCAGAGCCTGGAAGACTATCTTTAAATAGCAGCATTTAAAAAATAGCAGCATCTTTGTTGTCTGCATGCATTGTTTTTCTTCTCTCTTAAAGGGATATTTTAAAAAACCACATTTTGCTGTGTATAATGCACACCCACATTTTGTATACACTATAGACAGAATTATTATACCCTTGGTATGTAATTATTATACCCAGGTATAACGTGCATCCTTATTTTTCCCTCAAAAAGTTAGGCAAAAAAAGTGTGCATTATACATGGCAAAGTACAGTAACTTCAAATAGATGGAGAGCAATAAGGCTCCACCACAATTGTTTCCTGCTTCGGTAACACTGTTCTTAAGGATCATACTTTATAAAGCTGAATATAAGAAATGAATGCGCTTCAGGTTCATCATCACTGTCCCACCAGCCAGACACATCTCTGCTACTGGGGCAGGGTTCTCACTACACACACACAGCACAGAACTAGCCAGACCTGCTTTTCCCTTCCCAGAAACTGAGCTCAACTTCATGACAGAACCAGGCAGACAAATACAAAGGTGGACATTTCTGGTGCTGGTAGCTTTTTCATATAGTCATATTCCATTTGTGTCTGCCTCTTCTTTGTTGTCTAAACAACAAAGAAGACCCAGCAGGGGACTCTGACTCATCCAGGCTCCATTTTATTAATTATATCTTTTATGAATAGAAAGCAGATGGTCACATTCTTCAAGCCAGGGCACAGGACCTGGGGACACGGGAGTGTGTGCTTAATGGCTTTACCTTCCCCTCCTGGCAAACACTGCCTTTCGAATAGCCAAGGATCCCACAGCACAGCTGAAATGCCACATTTGCTCTGGCAAGAATGCCACATTGTCATTGTTGTTCTTAACCTCACAGCAGCATTGGAGGCTGTGGCTCACCCTTTCTTTTTTTTTATATCTGGGTCACATAGTGTTGAATCTTTTAACTCTCTGGTCTCTTCTTCTCTGGCTCTAGTTCTTCCTATTGTCCCCAAAGTGGTTACATTCAGTTATGTACATTGAAGCTCAGATTTCTGTTTTGTGCTCCTTCCCCAGTTACGGCTTCCTCTCTCAGTTGTAAGCAGATAATTCTCAAATCTGCATCTTCACAATCTAACACTTGCATTAAATGTGCTGGATCTCTCTCTCCTCCCCAAACAATTTCATCTTCAGAATTCTATTTTTCTCAGAATTATACCCTCTATTCTCTCTTCTTGGTTCAAAATCTTGACATCAACTTTGATTCCTTTCTTTTCCCATGTCCAGTCAGAAACAAGAGTGTTAGTTGATTTTACTTTTTAATGTCTCCTATCTACCTTGTCTTACCTATCTCTACTGCCATCAGCCTTCCCCATCCAAGCTTCCCTCACATTCCCGCATAGCAGTTTCTACCTCTAGGTCCTCCAACTCCTTCTCTCCAGTACTACTAGTTGACACACAAATTATACTGTTAAATGGCTCCTTGCAAAATATTTTATTACATAGTAGATCAAGATAAAAATTCCAGATTTAGGTACCAAATAATTCCAGATGCTTTAGCCTAAAATTTATGAATTTCCACAAGTCCATAAGTCCACAATGGACATTTACCCCCCAGAAGTGGTCTGGATGTTAAATTGTGTTTTAAAAGCTCCAGTAGCTAGACTCTTGAATCCTAAAGACATCCTCTGCCCAATCTTATTCTGCTCCATCTCCCTCTCTGGCTTTAACATCTTGATTTATCTCCTATTGGGTCCTGACCCCGTTTAATGTTCTGGCTTGTAACTTCTCATCTGCCTCCTGATTCAGGCTGGCTGTTAGGGGCATAGAGCACTCAGGCATGATCTTCCCTCACCCTCAGTAGCCCCAGTACATAAGAATCAGATGGGGAATGTGTTAAGAATTTAAAATCCACCTGGATGGTGTGGTTCAGTGAACTGAGCACTGGCCTGTGAGCCAAAGGGTCGCTGGTTCGATTCCCAGTCAGGGGACATGTCTGGGTTGCAGGCCAGGTCAGGCTCTCAGTAGGGGGAGTGCAAGATGCAACCACACATTGATGTTTCTCTCCCTCTCTCCCTTCCCCTCTGTCTAAAATGAATAAATAAAATCTTTAAAACAGAGAGAATTTAAATTACAGGACCCCTCTCAATCAGGTCAGGGCTGCAGCCAACATCTATAGCAGTGTTGTTATAGAACTCTCTATAAAGGTGGAAATGTTGTATTCCGTGTTGTCTAATAGAGTGGCTACAAACCATATGTGGCTATTGAGTACTTGAAATGTAGCTAGTATACCTGAGAAACTAAATTATTGATTTAATTTTGATTAGTTTAAATTTAAATAGTCACATGTGGCTGGTGGGCACCACATTGAACAGTGCAGATCTATAATTTCACAAGCATCACAGCTGATGCTGATGAATAATACTGTGTAAGAACCACTTTTAACAAGCAGTCCAGGTGCCTCTTATGCTCACTTACTGGCACGTAGTAGGGAATCAACAAATGCTTGTTAAAGGAATGAACAAATGAATATAGAAGTGAACCAGAACATAATTTTCATTGAAATTTAAGTCTGTATCTTCTGAAAAAGAAAAGTTGAGGGAGGCTTTCCAAGATTAAAGCGGCTAAAAACACCAACCATAGAATTAAATTCCAAAAAAGAAAGAAAGAAAAAGTGATTTTCCTCTTTAAAAAGCAAACAAACAAAATCCACTTACCAACCAAATGTAATCAACTGACATTAAAGGGATCCTGCTTCAAAAATTTAAAAAACATATATGACATTTGGGGAATATTTGGACAAATTTAAATATAGATAACATGTTACATAATATTAGAAAATTATTTTAAGTTTTCTTAGGTAGGATAATGTCATTGTAATTATAAAATAAAATGTCTTTATTCTTAGAAAATACATGTTGAAATACTTAGGGATGAGTATTCCCATGGTTTCTGGAAATATCATGATATCAGCAACTTATTTTCAAGAGTTTCAACCAAAAATGGTGTGAATTTGTGTGTGTGAAGAGAGAGGGAGGGAGGGAGCAAAAGCAGCAAATGTTAACAATTGTTGAATCTAGGTCGAGTTTATTTGAGTGTTTATTGTAAATATTCTTTCTCCTTTTATGTATATTTGAAAAAAATTTTAAGTTGAAAGAAAATTCACTAACAATGAATTGGCAAACCCTAAAGTAAATTAAAATAAAAAAATTAAACACTACATCTTCTGACTTTTAGGTGCCAAATTCTTCCCAGACTAGCACAGTGCCGAAATTATGCTACAAATTCTCTAGGCCAGGTGTTGCAAACTGGCAGCTACAGGTCCTATTCAGGCTGTATACATATTTTTCCTTGGCCCAAATAGAGGTTTTTTGTGTTTTTTTTTAATTATTTGCCAACATTCAAAATTCCAAGAATTTTTATCTTGATATATTATGTAATAAAATATTTTGCAATATAATGACATATAAATACTTATAATAGCAAACATATATAGATGACTTCCTATGAGACAATTCTAAGAGTTTCAGGTACTGCAATGAGCTCATTTGCTCCTCACAATAGCTAGATACTATTATTATTCTCCCTTTACAGGTAGCAAACTGATGAACAAAGGGGTTAAGAAACTTTCCCAAAGTCTCTCAGCTACTGACTTGTAGTGCCAGGGCGGAATCCTATGCTATCTGCCCCTAACACTACACTGTACCACCACTCACAAAAATCTGCACCCCTGGTTTCTGGAAAAATCAGACGATCTGGCAACACATTCCACATGGGATCCACTGACCAGAGGCAAGAAGCTGCATTTCCCTGAAGGCAGGGCATCTTCTCTTGTGCTTGCCCGAGTCCCCATCAGCCTGCTTCTGGGGCCTTGGGATTTGGCCCCTGCTCTAGCCTTGGCACCACTGAATACCCCAGAGTGAATGGCATGTGATAGATTATTTCATGGACACTTGTACACTGCACAGACTAAGCTGGATATCAGGCTGCTTTTTAAACAGACATGAAGCCCTAGGGGGAGCGAGGGCTAGTAACAAGGGTAACTTGGACCACATGTGTGCATATGTGGTGGTTGAGGAGGGGGTGGAGAAATTTCAGGATAATTGTTGGTAGATGATGGAGAAAAGTTGTAAGTGTGAGTTGCACATTCCATAGCTGGTAAGATGTCCCATCAGAGGGCAGTGTGGGTCAGTGAAAAGAGCATAGACTAGGGTAGCCTGGGCTGGGAACTGATTGCATCACTTAGCTGCTATATGTCCTTGAACAAGCTATTTAACTTCTCTGACTTCCATTTTCTTGGCTATAAAATGGGTCGATGACACCTCTAGGGTGGTGGAAGGAATTAAGTTAGAGAGAGTTTCTGAAGTCTTTTTGGCCCCTGTTTACATAGAGAACCAAAATACTTTTCTCACTATGAATCATTCATACTCATATTTTTTTTATTTTCCCTTAGCATTATAAAGCAAGAAGAAATTAGGAAGCAATGGTAAGTACCAAGTTCTTCCTGGATCTTCACATCTTAGGGGTCCAGGTCTGCTTCGTTTAGCCTGCAGCCTAAGCAGCTGGCACACTTGTCCTTATGGCTTCATGATATTTATTGGCTTTTTGCCAAACCAGAGTTGCTAGAGCAAAACCTGGAAGAAAGTGACTGAGTAGGGAAAAGGCAGAGAGAGAACTGAGAAAGATTTGTGAGCAAAGATTTTTAGTAAAACTTTAAAAAAAAAAAAGCAAAAATGCAGCAATAATCTAAATGGCTAACAATTTCTTCATCCAGCATATTATTGATTACCTACCATGGTCCTGGCTCAGTGGCAGGTGCAAGGGATGCAGATATGAACAAAACCAGACACGGCCCCTGCCCTCCTGGGATGTATCCTGGTGGTAGTTGGTTAAATGAATGATAACACTCTCATTCTGGAATGCCACACTGCCATTTTGAAGAAAGTTTGTAGAGAATAATTAATAAAACATGTTATAATAGCAAATTAAAAAACAGAACACAAAATTGTATTCATACTATTAACTGTGTAATATAAATCACTCATAATCCACAACTGAAAAATAACAATTGTCAACACTGAACTTCATTACATTCAACATCATTTTTTCCCTATTCTGAACACCTCTACTACATACATAAAATAAGCTAACAGGAAATACAGAAAGGAGGGTTATAGTTATTAAGCCTGGGTTGTGGGATTATGAGTGATTTTGGTTTTTTCTCTTTGATTTTTTATATTTTCCAAGGTTCCTATAAGAAACATGTACAAACAGAAAATAAGTAAATTAAAACACAGTCACAGACACACCTAGAGCTGCTCTCCCAGAACTCATTCGTTTTCTCTTTCCCTTTGCCTTTGGTGTCTCCAGGGCAGGGCACGCAGGCCTCCACCTGGGCAGCACAGGCATTGTGAGAGATGCTTCAACCGTCACTGTCGTGTTCCTGTGGAGCCCAATGTCTCCTGTGTAATGATAAACTGCCACCTGTCCTGTGGCGCCGCCTTCCACATGTGCAAAGAGGCAGAGCACGAGCTCCTGTGCCCTTTAGAGCAGGTTCCGTGCCTCAACTCCGAAAATGGCTGCCCCCTCTCCATGTCCCGCCACAAGCTGGCCAAGCATCTGCAAGTGTGCCCCGCCAGTGTGGTCTGCTGCTCCATGGAGTGGAACCGCTGGCCCAACGTGGACTCAGAAACAATCCTGCACGAAAACATCATGAAGGAGCCCCCCAGTGAGGAGTGTTTGGACACAGCCCTGGCCCTCCAGGACCAGAAGGTCCTTTTCAGATCTTTGAAAATGGTAGAACTTTTCCCAGAAACTCGAGAGCCCACCAAGGAGGAACCTATTCTGAATGGAGAAGCCAGCTGGGAGGAAATGGGAGGAGCGGTGGGTGGAGCGAATGCTGGTTTAGTACCACACAACTCTCTGTCAGCCACTACAGGAGACATGGCAGAGCTGAGTCAAGAAGAACGTGAGGCGTTGGCCAAAACCACAGAAGGGATGGACCTGACCAAGTTTAGCAAGTGGGAAAATATTTTCAGCAAAGAGAACGCAGCCTCTGCTTTAACAAACTCATCAGCGAGCTGTGAAAGCAAAAGCAGTGATGGCCCAGGGAAAGAACAGATTTCCAACAGCAATAACGTGGTCAGGGAGGACACTGCCAAAGGGAAAGAAGCACAGGAAAACCAGAAACAGCAGGACTGTCATGCAGCTGTGGAAACAACAGGGCTTGCCCCTTGGCAGGATGGTGTTCTGGAAAGACTGAAAACAGCTGTGGATGTAAAGGACTATAATATGTATCTGGTGCACAATGGAAGGATGCTAATCCACTTTGGTCAAATGCCTGCTTGTACGCCTAAGGAGAAGGACTTTGTTTATGGCAAACTTGAGGCTCAGGAAGTGAAGACTGTTTACACCTTCAAAGTTCCTGTGAGCTACTGTGGGAAGCGGGCTCGCATTGGCGATGCCATGTTGAGTTGTAAGCCGAGTGAACACAAGGCAGTAGACACTTCAGATTTAGGGATCGCTGTGGAGGACCTGCCCAAATCAGATCTCATCAAGACCACTCTCCTGTGTGCTTTGGAAAGAGAACTCAAAGGTCATGTCATCTCTGAATCCAGGAGCATTGATGGGCTGTTCATGGATTTTGCTACTCAGACATACAGTTTTGAGCCAGAACAGTTTTCCTCTGGAACAGTGCTGGCTGACCTCCTAACCACTTCCAACCCAGAGGGGCTCCATGTGGAACTCCACAGTGAGTGTGTGACCAGGAGACACAACAAGAGCAGCTCTGCCTTCACTTTTACTTGCAACAAATTCTTCAGGAGGGATGAATTCCCTCTGCATTTCAAGAATGTCCACACAGACATTCAGTCATGTCTCGATGGCTGGTTCCAGCATCGGTGCCCCCTCGCCTACTTGGGATGTACATTTATTCAAAACCATTTCCGTCCCCCAGGGCAAAAGGCAAAAGTGATCTACAGTCAAGAGCTGGAGACCTTTGCCATCAAGCCAGAGGTTGCATCAGAAGTGAATGAGGGAAGGAAGAACCACCATCTCTCAGGCCATGGAGGAAAAAGCCAGAATTCTTTAACCAGCCTGCCCTTAGAGGTTTTGCAGTACATCGCTGGGTTCTTGGACAGCATCAGCCTGTCCCAGCTCTCCCAGGTGTCTGTACTGATGAGGAACATCTGTGCCACTTTATTACAGGAGAGAGGGATGGTCCTCCTGCAATGGAAGAAGAAGAGGTATTCCCACGGAGGCACCTCCTGGAGAGTCCACAAGAAGGCAAGTAAACACTCACTCATTCAACAAATATTTAAGAGCTCTATATGTGCCAAGCACTCAACTAGGCACTGGGATTGTACTAGGTTTCTGGAAATAGGACATAATTCTTGAGCCCAAGAAGATCAGCCTAGTAGGGAAGACAGACCTATAAACATATTAATGGCAATAAAAATAAATGTCAGTGCCTGTTTATCTCTATGTATGTGTCCCGCATATCTTCTATTTGCTCACATGACCCATTCTCCAACCTCCTCCACCGTGATCTGTCCCCCAGGATGCTAATCTCCACAGACTGCCTCACCAGGCTCCTTTGCCTTCTGGCTTCCAGTTAGGCTACCTAATAGCACTGTATCAGCAGGTGATGGGAGAGAGGGAGAAAAGTGGAGTTGACAGCTCTCTCCTTCTGGCTTCCTCATGACGTGTATTCTCCCTCCATGACTCTTTGCAGTGGCTGTGTCTCTCCACTGAAAGTGGCTATATCAGGTGGTTCTCTCCACACAAGGACCTGTTCTGGTCCAATGACCTCCCTCTCCTTCCCTTTCAGGCCTAGGGTAGAAACACTCTAGATTGTTACCAGCTCAGGTACTGCCTTATATCTTGTGACTTTCCTAAACCTTGTCCACAATTTGTACATCATTCCTCTTTTAAATTCTCTTCAAATTACCCGAGTGTGCCATCTGTTTCCTGCTTGGGCTCTGACTGGCACAGTATGTTGACAAATTCCCTGTAGTTCCATGTCAACTAATTTTTAAAGACAGTTTTTGCCTTTGTTAAATGCATTTTGAAATTCTAAAATAATTTGGTTCACTGATTTCTCCTAGTTCAAATACCTATTAAAATTTTCCCAAAAACTCTGCTGTAATTTTTTTAAATGTGTTTCTTTTCCCCAGTCAGTTTATACTTGCTTAACTGTACTATGACTTCTGTCACCTTGTACCATACAGAAGTGGGACTCCTAATTCAGCATATCCAAAGTGCCTTAAGCATCCTTTCTTATAGTAAATGTGTTGGTAATATGCACCATAAATTTATGTGCCCATTGAGGTCAATAATTCCATTACAGTTGAGTTTCTTCCCAACATGTGGGTGTGTGCAAATTGGCATCGGGGAGTTACAGTTGCTTACATCTATTTTTCTTACTTATGTCCAACACATCTTGTATATTTACTATTGTTTATTTCCAGAGCAGTCTTCTTCAAAGAATCACTGAGATTCTCTCTCATTTATCTGTGCCTATATCCAGATGTTAAATAACCACTGACTGCCATAAACACTGCCTGCCAACAACTATGTGCTAAGCATAAGCATGAATGAGACTAAGCCCCTGCCATTCAGGAATTGTATAATCTAGAGTTGCCTAATACCATTCTCTGTAAAACCTGATACAAATAATTTCACTTATATACTAGAAATTCCATTATTTTTTTGGCTTGCATTGGTTCACAACTCAGTGATTGCTGTCCACTCTTGAATATAATTTGGGATACGCTAATTTCTTTGCAGAACGAAAGAGAGAGAATTTAGTTGCAGCATCCTTTAACTCCAAGTAAATTTTCTTTCTGGAGTTAAAATGGCTCTTTAAAGTAAAAAAAGAAATTGTTCTAAGATCTCAGGAAACATTTTACTTACGTAGGAATAATGACAAGAAACTGAGTGTGAAGTGGTCAGATTGAAGGGGTATCAGGTTATGCCTACTCTTGTAGACAGATTTTAAAACTAGTGACTGACACAACATCCTAGGTGAAAAGGTCAGAGGGTGTTTGAGTACCAGACTCCTGGATTTCTACTAAATTTTTTGTTCTAAGATTTCTTGTATGTAACAATATGTTTAGTTTCAAGCAATAGAAAACCAACTTAAAGTGGCATAAACAATAAAGAGAATTTATTGGACCCAAATATCTAAAAAGTCTAAAGGGAATAGCTTCAGGTAAGGCTTGATCTGGTAGCTCAAGAAAATTCCCCCAATTGATGTTTTTCTTTCTATTTTTTTTTATCTCTACTTCTTTAATAGTAGCTCCATTGTAAGATATAGTGCTCCCTTGGTCATTCCTGGGGGCTACCAGTCACTCCTGAAACTGCAGTTTCCCAGTTCAAGTACAGAGGGAAAAAGAGAATCTGCTTTTTGATATCTCAAAAAAAAAAAAAAAAGAGAGAGAGAGAGTTCTGGAGTAGAGTCATTGAAACTAATTGTCCTTATCTGAACCATGTGTCCATTCCAGAGCTGGTGGGTGTATGTGTGGTGCCAGCAGTGGTGTGGTGGGTTCAATGAACAGATTAGTATCAGTCATTCCAACACAACTGTGTGGCTGGCTAGGAAGGTTATGTATTGGAAGCGGGAACTGGGAATTGCGTGCTGGAGAAGAAATGAACAAAATGTCTGCAGCAGCCACTAACCACTCTCTGGAAGCTAAGAACAGGAAAAACAGGAAGGCATTTCCTTATCCTGTCCAAATAAAGCTAGCCTGAGGGTACTGCCCCAATGTTCACTTTTGAACTTCTCTTTCCCAACAGATCTGGCAATTCAGCAGCCTCTTCTCTAAAATCAACAACTGGGAATTTAATGAAGTCACTTCCATGTCTGAGCACCTGAAGACCTGTCCTTTCAACATTGTGGAGCACAAGACTGACCCGGTTCTTTTGACCAGCATGTGTGAGCCCCGTGAGCAGGCCCGAGAGAGCTTAGTTGCCACCTTTAGAGCCAGACCACAAGGAAGACAAGCCAAGTAAAGAGTCCCATACCACTGTTCTTGAATTCTTCCTCAGAGTTACTGAAAGTAGGACAGAGTATGTTTTGGGGGACTTCCCCCTGTAACTGTATATATGCTTATCTAGGTGTATTAGAACACGCAATGTCCTCCAAAACCCGAACTGTTGCACAAGGTCTAAGGACTTCCTAAGCCCTGCCTTGTACAATTGTTATCATACCACATTGATGACTTACTTCCTTTCCTTTTTTATTTCTGAAATAGATCAGTCTGAAGAGAAAATAGGTAACTTGAGGTCATTGAAGAAGATAAGCCCAGTTTCTTAAGAGATAAGAGAGCAATGAATTCTATAAGCAGCATAGACCTGTGCTTTTATGGGGCAGGGGGCAGTGTTCAGTTTACAAGCACATTCAAATTTGTGGGGCAGGCAATGCCGAGATGGGGTCTGAGGTGTCAGCCCTCCATGGTGTAGGGCACCAGTGTGAAGGTTCTGGAGCTGGGGCTGTCTTGACTTTCAAGTCCAGGGCTGTTTTTCGTTGCCCCACTGCCCCTAAGACCAGATATCCAAACACAGCCTGACAGAATAGAAACCATGGCTAAGCACAGCATCCTGGAGGACACCACATACCAGAGGATGAAAGGCAGAAATAGCCCTGGCTGGCGTAGCTCAGTGGATTGGGCGCGGGCTGCAAACCAAAGTGTCGCAGGTTCGATTCCCAGTCAGGGTATATGCCTGGGTTGCAGGCCATGACCCCCAGCAACCGCACATTGATGTTTCTCTCTCTCTCTCTCTCTTTCTCTCTCCCTTCCCTCTCTAAAAATAAATAAATAAAATCTTAAAAAAAAGAAAGGCAGAAATAAGGTCACAGGGTTTGTTGTGTAGAGTCTTGACAATGTATAGGACAACCTTGAAAATTGAAGAGTCCAAAAGAGACACTATATTCATGGAGAAAATAAGGGCAAAAGCCTCAAGCCTACACTTTAATAATGACTTAAGAGTCCAGATATTTTTCTCCTGAAAATTATATCCCACGTCTGCATTAGGGAGAGCACAGACACAGCCCAGCACCAGTACGCACTGCAGGTCCTGCATGGGATCTTGGGAAGGAAGTCATGGCAACATGGTGGTTCCCTATAATGTCTCCTACCCATTACTGGTCATGCCTTCAGCCTGTCAAAAGTGGGTGACACTGCTAGTTTTGGGCAACAAACAGCAAATACTCATGAGAACAAAAATAAAAGAAAAATTCATAACAGAAACTGACTTCCCCTTTCCTTCAAGCAGGGTTTCTGGGAACTGCTGCCATCGTGCACCAAATAATTCTTTGTCATGGAAGACTGCCCTATGTATGACAGGATATTTCGTAGCATCCCTAGCCCTTAGTCACAGCTGCTAGTAGTACCCTCACAGCTGTAACAACCAAAAATGTCTCCAGACATTGTTAATTATCCTCTGAGTCACTACTGGGTGAGAACCACTGCCCTGAAAGATGACACGTCAGAGGCAGGAAGTTAGGATCAGCTTTCTTCGTACAGCAGAATCTTCTCTCCCACATAGTTCTCTTCAGTGGTGAAACTTTCATCAGCTCTTCTTTATTTACAAAATTGGTTTTAGACACATGGTGATTTTAAGTCGGGAACCAGATGGAGCTGATTTATTTGGTATGGCTTCCTGCCCTTGGGTCAAGTGCAAAGGGTAAACTTTTGTACTTGACCCAAAAAGCTAAAGCTTTCTCCATGTGTAGCTGAAGCCAGGAAAGTTAAGCTAGTCATCTTGTTTACATCCCTCTCACCTTGACTGGTGCCATTTTCTCAGCAGGCCTAGCAGTCCTCAAGCACTTGAGAAAGAAGGGAAAAGGACGATAGGCATCGTGGAGAAGTAGAGAACAAAGAATTTAGCCAACAACAAAAATGAGTCTAGTTGATCTGGATGCTTGTTATCACCCACATCTCTGAAGATGGTCTGAAGCTGGTGTCGATGAAGTAGATGGCACCTCTGAGAAGACTCAAGAGGGCACTCGAGCATGTCCCAGAACAGAAATCTGCTCACCTTTTCATTACAATGTGCCACTTGGTACTGTTCAGTAATGTAACTGTTTTTCCTCATCCTTATTGTTTGGTTTATATTTCACATTTGTATATAAGGCATCATTTTCTAAAAATATAACTAGAGTATGATCTAAGCTTTTATTTGGTGAAGATAAGTAACCATAAACAACTAAACCCTGAAGTGGGGAAAAAAGGGAGAATTCTCCAGATATCAGTTCCGTGTGTTTTGGATCTAGTCCTTCCTATGTAGAGAAAGTAACCTCCTAAAGTCCATTCTGGGTTTCTTATTTTACTAGGGAGAGACAGAGAGAGAGAGAGGGAGAGAGAGGGGGAGGGAGGGAGGGAGAAGGCGGGGAGCTATCAGCCAAGGGAGGTGAAAATTAGGGGCTACTGTTAGATGGGTGAGAAGTACAGAGAAAGGAGGACAGCAGAAGGCTGTCCCCTCACAGTCTGGGGGGTGGGGCAGGCCAGGGGCAGGACAGCAGTCAGGACAGTGCCACACTGCTCTGCAGGCTGCACACTCTAGCCGCACTGTGCTTTCTCTGTTGCTTCCTTCAGAGCAATACTGAATTAATCAATATCATCACATACATTTATAAGATATCTAACAGTATCTGTTGCAGAAAGCAGGGTACTTCAGTGTGTCCACTGATCTATCCAAACAAACACATTTTATGGTGAGAGGGCAGCTGGAGCAAAAGGAAACCATTTTACAGAGAGTGAATTGGACAGATGATTTGGTTAGTGAGATACAGCTGCAGTGAGCAGCATGAGCAGCAAGCAGTATCTGAGAGAGGCCAGACAGTGAAACATGGCTTCAGACTCAGAAGCACTGAGGGGAGTGAAAAGGGACTGTGTTCCCAGGGTGGAGAGATGTCTATGCGTATCACCACCAAGATAATTGGTTCAGAGTAAAAATCGGCCAAACGTGGAGGATGAGGTCCATAGAACTGTTGCATAGGGATCTGGAAAAGAAGTTCCTGTCTTAAAATAAAGGGAAAAGTGAAAAGCATGGTGGGTCTTGGAGGTGTCACCAGAAAACCACTGTAAAATTCTGACCTATGTGTGATGTCAAATAAAACTGAAATGAAGAATGAGATTGTGCATATCTATGAAGACTTACCTCTCTCTGTATGCTGGAAATCCCAACATTTCTATAAGCAGAAATAAAAGCTGTTTTGCACTCTTACAGGCTAACTGGGTAAATCTTGTAAATTAGGTCTAGAGACAGATTTGTGATTCACTGGCATAGAAGTCATTGTGGAAACAAAGGAGTTTGTGTCTTAAAGAAAAGCCAAGGAACAAGACTGAGGAACACAGTGCTCTGGGCCTGTGGGCAGCTCACAACTGTAGGAAGTCCTGGAGCATCTATGGAGCTCAGTCACTAATTGTAGCTCCCACCATCTTCTTCATCTTCGAAAGCTGGACCCAACTTTAGATACTGGTTACAACATAGACTTTGTCTTACCAACAAAATATTCCCTACACCAACCAAATCCCTGACTTTGATTTTGACTTGGTTTTGATTTTGCCTAGGATCTTTTCTACCTTGGGCCTTACGGAGACCGATGGCCTGGGCTAGGATAAACCCACTATGACCTGCCTTCTCATTCTCTTTCATCCCCATACTTTGCCCAGTGATTTGTTTTTTGCCCATCACTGTCTGTCCAAATGTCCTCATCTTTTTTCGTATCAGCCTCAACCCTGAAACCACACAGAAGCTTCATGAGCTCCTTCCATGTACAATCTTACTTGGCCATCAATCTCAGTCATCCAGCTAGCTATAAAAAAGCCTGGGCTTTCTTGTGTAGAGGACACTCTCTCTGGATAAATCCTCTTACCACTTCATCAGAACTGTGTTCCTTTAGCTTTCATCTTTTTTTGTGATTGTTGCCAAATCTCCCTTTTCCTCCCTCCTAATCCCTAATGTGTGCTTCTTCCTCAAGTATCATCATGTCCTGAAAGAGTGTGGTCATTACTCCCAGGCAGAAGGTGGCTGGCGTCTCACAACTGCAGAAGCCAACAGAAGTTGACACTATGTTGTCTCCTATACCCCCACCTTACCACCATTCCCCAGGCTCATCTGTTTTGGACTGGGCTTAAATACAGCCTAAAAAAAGGCCCAGTCCTATTCATCCAGGGCAGAGGGGAATGGACAGTGGTAGGAGGGAGTCTTCTGGATATGCCTGAATGATGGAAGGAGAATTGGAGCCATGAGAGCCAAGGCCGCCCTGGCTAGTGTGGCTGAGTGGATTGAGTGCTGGCCTGAGAACCAAAGGATCACCGGTTTGATTCCCAATCAGGGCATATGCCTGGGTTGCATGCTAGGTTAGGTTCCCAGTAGGGGGTGCACAAGAGACAACCACAAATTGATGTTTTTCTCCCTCTCTTTCTCTGAAAATAAATAAAATCTTTTTTAAAAAGAGAGAGAACTAAGGTCTTTGCCGGCTGCACAAAAAGCACTTATTTACCTCAGCCTAGAGGTGAAACATAGTCTCACTTTATTTCCAACATTAAGACTGAGCAGAGAAAGGATATCTCTGCAAGGAAGGAAAGTAGGCAAAAGCACAACCAGGTAAACCAGGCAATCAAGACATACCTTCCCAGGTAAGCCAACCAGGAAGCTCAGAGCTCTTGAAAGCAAAAGGCAGAGATTGGGGTGATAGAGGGAGCACTCATGGGGAAGGAGGCAGGACAACAAGATAAATGTCTATGAGCTCACAGAGGATAGAGAGGACTGAAGGAGAGCTCCTTCCTCATGATGTCTCTGCCCCAAGCCCTAATGCAGAGGGAGGGGGAAGTCTATGTGGAACTTCAGCAAACTCGTGACATCCTATTAGACACTTGAAGCAGGATGGGAGGAGGTGGAGGCAGAGCCACTTTGGACATGGGAAGTCACAGTGCAGAATGCAGTAGGGGCCATTTACTGGAGAAGGTTGACATAATTTGCAGGGAAGAGTCCAAAGCGGCCGTGGCAACGTCCCCGCCACCAGCCCTCATCCACCATCTCAATGTCAGTGATGACGTCGTCTGGATCAAAGGAAATCTCATCACTTCCCTCTGGAGACAAAATTGACGGGAATTAGGATGGTCAGATAGGAATCCCTCCATCCCTGCGCCCACTCTAAACCTCAGAAGGGAAATAGGCCTGGTCTTCTTGCTGCCAAGCCTGGACTCTTCCCTGACCCTCGGAGTTCATCCCCCTCTCTTGTTTCAAGGGCCTTCAGGCACCAGACCCCTCAGGCCACTCCCAACCTACCTCCTTGGTAATCATACAGGGCTACAGCCGAGATCCCAGCCCCAGCCGGACAGCCTGATGCTCCTGCATTGTGAGAAATATAAACATGGTCTCACCAACAGGGAGAAGGAAAACAAACAGGTTCTTCTGGGTAATGGGACAATTCTTCTTACCACCCGCCCCCACTGAAGACCTGACCAAATTCAGAAGCTGATTCTCTCTCGACCACTTACCAGCCAGGGAGGAGGGCAAAGAGGGATTCTCAGGCTCCAGCACATCCTCATAGTCCCCCTCGGGTTCATCATCTTTCTCATGTATGTCTATCTCCCCAACATCCTCATAGTCATTCTCAGGCTCAGGCTCGGGCTCAGGCTCTGCTTCATACACTGGTTCTTCTACCACCTGGAGGCCTTCCAGAGTCCTGGGGGGCAAAGCTGGGGCCTCCTCCTCATCCTGAAAAGAGACAGTGTGGAGCAGGGTGACTTGAACTCACTAGGAACTGCCTCTCCAAAACTTCCCAATGAAGGACTGCTGAGATCCCACCCATCACCACCCTACCACTCCCACATTCACCCTTGTTCCATCCCATAGCCCTTTCTGGGATACACAGTCTTTCATCCATTCTTCATTCCTCAGCCTCCTTCCGCATCTACCCACTCAAACACACACACAATACCAAGAGATGATAGGAGGGTAATGTAAAAGGTATGAGGAAATGGAAGTGGGAAACAAGTCAGATTCCTTGGAAGAGCAAGAAAATGTTGAAGAAAAGCACACTGTTGGGAATACCACACCTACAATGACCAGGTCTCCTCGTCTTCCCAGGACTGGGTGGTTTCCCAGAATGTAAGACTAACAGTATTAAGATCAGGGGAGTTGTCATCCCAGACAAACCAGGATGTTGGTCATACTCTATGGTTCACCTTCCTAAGACATGAGGAGATGGGGAAGGGACAGAAAACCTTTGGGTCTCTGCTTACCTCTGAGGGCCCTTTCCTTGAGGGCAGGGAGGACACTGGGTGTTCCCTGCTGGTTCTCAAAGGCTCAGGCTCTGATGATGAACAGCTCCCTGCAGGAGGCCAGACCTACGGAGAAAGAAGCATCTCTCCAGTAAGCAATCATGCCTCCATCTTCTCCCCTATACTGACCTGCAACATCTCTTCCTACCTCTGCCAATCCAAACCAAACTCATCCCTCAATATAGGTTCCAGTCTGCAGAGATGGCTCCTTCATCTTAGTTCCTGCAGCAATGATTGGCTGCACTGGCTGGTGAGCTGTCCTTTCTTATATTGTGTGCCCTTTGTGTTTTTTTCTAACATTTTCGTATATGTGAGGCTCAGTTACACAGTCGGACTGAAATCTTCCTGAACACAGGGACAGCACTTTTATAAAATTTGCTTAACGCAAGGAAAGCCTGCGTTGTATTCTCTACCAATGATTTGGACTCTTTAGGTTCATGTCTGGGCAAGGAATGCTGGATATGGATCCTAGAGCACCAAATGCTCACCTCTGAGGAGATCTTCTTAGGCAATGGGGCTGGCACCACTGGCTCTTCCACAGTGGCTGCTGGTTGCTGAGCCGCGTGGCTCGTCTTCACCAGGGCCTTTCTCTCCTGTTGCTGCCTGGCCATCTGCTGTGCCTTCTCTTCTTCTTCCCTCTTCTTCTTCTCCTCAGCCATGCACTCAAATTTTGCCTTCAGCCCACGGGCACCACTAGAAGCTACAGACACAGTCAAGAAGAGGGGAGGGGTCAAGTGTACCTCAAGTAATCTAGTTAGATAAAAGCATGGAGGAAGTAGTCTGGGGAGAAAAAAGAATGAGAAGGAAAAAGCAGTTGAGGAGCGTTGAGAAAGGGAATTATTAAGACTCACCAGCCTCTACGGGTGTCGTCTTCTTATAAGCTGTGGTTGGGGCCTCCATTTCATTGAAGCCAACAGCACTCTGCAGGAGAGCAGCAGGTGTGTGAGGGAGGTGGTGGTAAGGAAGTGGTAGTGACTCAGAAAGCGGCGTTAGGGACTGAGGCCACCATAGGTGGTATCCTAACCACTTCATCCTCAATAGTTGGACAGTGTATTCCAATACTGTTGTTTTGGGGCAGAGAGAAGGAAAAAAGAAGTTTTAAACTGCTGGGCTCAGCTCCTCTTTTTGAAAGTAGTGTCCCTAGAAACCCGCATCTCCAAATCCAGTTGCATGGAATGCAGCAAGGCCCCTAGGTAATGGAGAGGAACTGGTGTGGGGGAGGGCAGTGACATGGATGGGAAGAGACTACAGATTGGGATGAACAGTTCCAAGCAGTCAATGAAATTTTAAACATCACCTTTCCCTGGAGTTTATCTGTCTCTCTGTCTTTCTCTGCCTTTCTTTCCTCTCCTCAGTTAAAGCTCAGGCTTCAGAAGACATGCTCATTAGATGCTGAGGGCAGCCAATGGGGAATGCAGGACACCAGGAGGACAGCTCAGAACACTTAGCTTTTTCCATCTTTTTTCCTCTCACTCTTCTCCATGCACTTCTGTGCGGTTTGGGAAACTACTATCAACAAATTGGCATTCTGGCACCTTACCTTATCCACTCGGTCCTTCTGGATCCCATACTGACCACCAAAGCCCTTGGCATAATCTGTAGGACAGAAAGGTCTGAGAGTCATACAGGAGTAAAAATGCTGGAAATGGGTGGGAAGAGGGAGCAGTGGGAAGAATGACCAGAAGACAAGAATGTGGAAACCAGAGTAATAGATGAGAAAGTGTGAGAATCAGAGGATAGAGAGAGGCATAGGTGGGAAGAGCAACAAAAGCTTTGGGAGGAAAAACTTGGAAGAAAATATAAGGGAGAGAGATGGGAATTGGATATAAAAAAAAAGTGACAGGAAATGGGAAAATGTAAAGGAAGAAACAGAAAAAAAATAAGAAGACCATTCTGGCTATCTCCTGTTGGTCTCAGAGAGAAAGGCAATCTCTCTATCCTCTGTGAGGCAGAGGGGCCTTTAAGAATCATAGCCAGACCTGGCTGATATAGGTCAGTGGATTGAGTGTGGGCCGAGAACCAAAGGGTTGCCAGTTTGATTTCTGGTCAGGGCACATGCCTGGGTTGTGGGCCAGGTCCCTTGTGGGGGCCACGTGAGAGGCAACCACACATTGATGTTTCTTTCCCTCTCTTTCTCCCTCCATTCCCCCTCTCTAAAAATAAATAAATAAAATATTTTTAAAAAAGAATCATTACCAGATCTACTCTTCTCATCACCAGCCTGTCTGTCTTCACCCTTTTCTCAGTGGCCCCTTCCTTTAGCCTCCCTTTTCTGTCCTGCTCCTAATCTTATTGTTTTCCCCTCCACCCCTTTTGGTTTGCCCCCACTGATCCCTACACACATACACTTACTACTCTTCACCTCACCACCTGCACTGCACATGCACTCCTCAGTATTGTGGATCCTCTCTATCAGCTTTCAGAAAGGAAGGATGAAAATTCTATGATATCTGTGACCTCCCTCCTCTCTAGCCCCAACTTACCTTTCTGGGATTCGTGTTTCTCTGTTTCTCCTTTGTAGTCATATCCTAGAGCTGCTTTGTCCCATTTATCCTTCTCTACTCCATAACGGCCACCAAAGCCACGAGAGTAATCTACAGTGGAAGGAGCAGTCATGAGAGCCCACTCTCAGCCCACAGGGAAAAGCTGCTGAAGAGAGAAGTCAAGAGGAACCAGTGTTCTAAGCCATCTTTTGCCAGCTTTACCATTGTTCACTATTTTTCTCTTCTCCTCTTACTTCCATGCCAAGAGGAGAAGATCATTTCTTTTTTTTTTTTTTTGCCTTCTTCAAGGAAAGGGAAAGTATAGACATTATAAGGAGAGGCTACCAGGGGGGAAAAGGCAAATCTACATGAAATATATGCCTCTCCCTACTCCAATAAAACACTTAGAAATATCAGCTAAAATATAATAATCTTCTTTGTTGTTACTGTAAGCAGTGAAGCTCAAAAGAAAAACAGGAAAAAAATTCTGGCTCCAAAAACAAATTGGTAAATCAAAGCAGTAGGTGTGAGGGTAAGTATGAGCTGATGTCAGACAAAACCCAAGGGGGTTTTAAGTACCAAATTTAGTGCCCAAGGTTAAAATCTAGGATCTGTGGTTCTAATTTCTGTAAAAGAACAGGGGGCTGGGGAGCAGAAAATTAATCTCTGCCAACTCCTTTAAACATTGTACAGGAAGTCCTTGCTAATGAAGTAAGACAGAAAAGAAAATAAAAGGTATACAGACCGTAAAGAAAGACATAAAACTGACTTTGTCGACAGATGACATGATGATCTGTGTATAAAATCCAAAAGAATTGATAAGCATACTCCTGAAACTAATAATTGATTGTAGCAATGTTGCAGAATAAAAGGTTAATATAAAAAAGTCAGTTGCTTTCCTATATACCAACAATGAATAAGTGGAATTTGCAATTCAGATACATATAATACCATTTAGCACCATCAACAAAGACATATTTATGTATAAATCTAAAAAAATGGATGAGATCTATATAAAGAAAACCCTGATGAATTAAACCAGAGAAAAACTAAGTAAATGGAGACAGAGCCTATGTTCATGGAAAAGCAGACTCAGCATTGTCATGATGTTGGTTTTCCCCAGACTGATATGTAGATACAATGCAATGTCCACCAAAATCCCAGCAAATTATTTTTTGGATACTGACATCTGATTCTAAAGTTTCTGTGGAGAGGCAAAAGACCCAATAGCCAACACAGTACTGAAGGTATAGCCAACAAAAAGTTGGAAGACCAAATGCTACCTGACTTTAAAGACTTACTATAAAGTTATAGTGATCAAGGCAGTCTGGTGAAAGAATAGAAAAATAGATCAATGAAACAGAATAAAGAGCCCAGAAATAGATCTCCCATAAATATAGTCAACAAATCTTTGGCAAAGAAGCAAAGGTAACACAATGGAGAGAAGATAGGCTTTTCAACAAATGGTACTGGAACAACTGGATGTCCACATGAAAAAAGAATCTAGATACAAACATTATACTTTTCATAAAAATTAACTCAAAATAGATCATAGACGTAAATGTAAAATGCAAAAATATAAAACTCCTGGAAGGATGTGGGAGGAAACCTAGATGACCTTAGGTGTGGTGACTTTTTAGATGTACAACCAAAGACATCATCCATGAAAGAAATAATTGATAATCCTGGACATCATTAAAATTAAAAAACTTCTGCTCTGTGAAAAAAATACAATGTCAAGGAAATGAGAAGACAAGCCACAGAAAGAGAAATATTTGCAAAAGATAGCTCTGATAAAACACCCTGTTATCCAAAATATACAAAGAACTCTTAAAACTCCACAATACTCCAATCAGAAAGAATATATGTCCCTCTATGTTCATAGCAGTGTTATTTACAATTGCCAAGACCTGGAAGCAGCCCAAGTGCCAATCAGTAGATGGGTGGATAAAAAAGCTGTGGTACATCTACACAATGGAATACTATGTGGTCATTAAAAGAAGGAAATTTTACTATTTGTGACAGCATGCATGGACCTGGAAAGTATTATGCAAAGCAAAATAAGCCAGTCAGAGAAAGATAAATACCATATGATCTCACTTATATGTGGAATCTAATGAACAAAATAAACTGACAAACAAAATAGAACCAGGCATGGGTATATGGAGTAGACTGACAGATGTCAAAGGGCAGGTGGCAGGGGTGGACTGAATGAAAGAAGGTGAAGAGATTAGCCAAAGAACATATGTGCATAGCCCATAGATGCAGACAATAGTATGGGAAGGGCCAGAGGAAAAGGGGGCAGGATCTGCGTGGAGGTGGGAAAATGAGGGGGGAAATGATGGACATCTATAATAATGTCAACAATAAAAAAAGATTCAACAATTTTTAAAAAACAATTTAAAAAATAGGCCAGTCAGAGAAAGACAAGTATCATACAGTTTCAGTCATATGTGGAATCGATTGAACAAAATGAACTAATGAGCAAAATAGAGACAGACTCATAGATAGAGGGCAGGCTGACACCTGTCAGGGGGTGAGAGGTGGGGCTGGAGGACTGGGTAGGAGGGGTGGAAAGATTGAGCAAAAAAGAGAAATGAACACATATGACATTGTTGGGAACTTGCCTTGCCTGGTTTCAGAAGCTGTAACCTCCACCAAGGCTAAGGCTGAGGGAGCAACCTTGGACTGTAAGCCACCAAGGAGACATAAGCTTATCTCCCTGGCAGGAGCACAGCTTCTGCTTCTTTTACTTCATCCATAAGTGGCCCCCAATGCTTGGTCGGTTAGCCAATGATGGGTAAGATTCCCCAAGGGGGGGACAACCTAAGACAGGCATGATCACATGGGAGGCCCCCAAGGAAGGATTTTGGGGGCTACAGCAAAAGGGGGTGATGGACCCTTGCCCCTCTGCTTTGACATAGCCTGAGTCCTCATTGTCTGTGAGGAATCTCCTAATCTCTAGGCTGCCTTACTTCCCTTGCTCCACCTAAGCCTGAAACAATGACAGAGGGTGGTGCAGCCCTGTGCTGGAAAGGGCAGGTTCCCCAGGCAATCAGGCCTAAGAAAGAATGTGTAAAATCCTGTGAAACCTGCTTTGTTTAGAATGCTCTCAATTAACAGATAAGGGTCCAAGCAAGAAGTAAGTTTGTTCCTCAAAGTTTTACAACTCTTTAGCTATCTGACCCTGACTCAAAATAGGCCCTCAGAGTTCTTTGTTATCTATTGTTTGATCCTTACTTCCTGGAAATGATTAATGAGCTTTACCTGAATTCTTGTGTAAATGAACCCAATAAAAGTCCATTGACTTTTAGGAACAGGTTCTTGGTCCTTCTCCTGTGAGAGATTGGCCACCTTTCTTCCCCAAGCAGATCATGTCTTGGTAGACTTATTCTCATCCGTGGTAGATGGGGGGCTCTGTGGACAAAGCTCCCCCACACGACATGTTCATGATCTCATGAACACAGACAACAGTGTGGTGATTGCTAGGAGGAGGGAGGAATTGGAGGAGGGGATGGGGATGGATGGAGACTTGACTTGGGGTGGTGAACACGCAATACAGTGTACAGATGATGTGTTGTGGAATTGTGCACCTGAAACCTGTGTAATTTTGTTAACCAGTATCAACCCAATAAATTCCACAAAAAGGAAAAAGAATGGGCCAAAGATATTAATAAACACCTTACCAAACAAGATATACAGATGACAAATAAGCATATGAGAAGATGCTCTATATCATATGTCATCAGGGAAATGCAAATGAAATCAGGATGTGAAGTATACACCTGTTTCAAAGGCCCAAATCCAGAACTCAGCATACTAAATGCTAGTGAGGATGTGAAACAACAGAAACTCTTATACATTGCTGGAGGGAATGCAAAATGGTACAGACACTTTGGAAGACTGTATGGCAGTTGGTTACAACACTAAACAGACTTACCATCAACAAAACAAAAAGACAACCTACTGAATGAGAGAAGATATTTGCTAATGATACATTCAATAAGGAGTTACTATACAAAATTTATAAAAAGCTCATATAGCTCAACACCAAAACAAACAAACAATACAATGAAAAAATGGACAAAGGCCCTGAATAGAATATACAAATGGTCAACAGACACATGAAAAGATGCTCAGTGTCACTAATTATCAGAGAGATGGAAATTTAAACCACAATGAGATATCACCTCACACCTGCCAGAATGGTTATCATCAATAAATCAACAAACAAGTGCTGGCGAGGATGTGGAGAAAAGGGAACACTAGTACACAGTTGGTGGGAATGCAGACTGGTACGACCACTAAGAAAAACAGTGTGGAGTTTCCTCAAAAAATTTAAGATGGAACTGCCTTATTACCCAGCAATTTCACTTTTGGGTATATACCTGAAGAAAACCAAAACACTAATTCAAAAGAATACATGCACCCCCATGTTCATTGCAGCGTTATTTATAATAGCCAAGATATGGAAGCAACCCAAGTGCCCATCAACAGATGAGTGGATAAAAAAGTGGTGGTATATATATCAGAATATACAATGAAATATTACTCAGCCATAAAATGCATGAACTCTTACCATTTGCAACAGCATGATAAGAAAGAGGAAGACAAATACTACCAGTTATTTTTGGATCTAAAGAGCAAAATAAAGGAACAAACAAAATAGAAACAGACATAGATACAGAGATAGGACTGATGGTTGCCAGAGGGGAGGGGGATTTGGAGACTGGGTGAAGGAATTAAGAAGTACAAATTAACAGTCACAAAATGGTCGTGGGATGTAAACTACAGCATAGAGAATATAGTCAATAGCATTGTAATAGCTATGTACAGTGCCAGGTTGGTACTTAAAATATCAGGTGCACCACTTTGTAAAGTATATAATTGTCAAACCACTACGCTGTACACCTGAGACCAATATAAAGCAAATATTGAATATAAACTAACTGAAAAAAATTTGAATAAATAGTAATCAAAAAATACAATTAAAAAAAGAAAAAAATTAAATATAAAAGAGTGAACCTAGGGACTATTGGTAATTATAACAATGTAGATTCATCCTTGGTAAAAAAAAAAAAAAAAAAAAAGGTACCATTCTGGTGAGCAATGCTGCTAATAAGGAAGACTATGCATGTGTGGGGGTGGGAGTTTATGGTAAATCTCTGTACCTTCCTCTCAATTTTGTTGTAAACCTAAAAATTCTCTTTAAATATTGTCTTTAAAAAAAGAGGTATCTAAAAGAGAATGGAAATTTCTAATATACATCTAATATGAGTTCCAAGAGAAAGAATAAAAGAGGAAAGGTACTATCCAAAAAAAAAAAGCCTGAGAACTTTCCATAATGAGTCACTTTTCAGGTTGAAGAGAATTAATAGGTCTCATGTAGAATAATAAAAATAGATAAAACATCTACACATGTACTGATATTTCAGAATATCAGAGACAAGGAGAAAACCTTTCATTAAAAAAACTCCCAGAGACAACACATATTACCTTCAAAAGAAAGACACAAGAGAGATGCTAGAGGTAATGAAATATCTTCAAAGTGACAAATGTACAATAACAATGAAGAGTGGAAGAAAATAAAGACATTTTTTAGACAAAGCCTGGGAGTTCTTTTGTAGACTCACTAAAAGAATTGTTAAAGGTTATACTTTAGCAAGAAGAAAATAAAAGGAGTAAGGAGGAAACAATGAAACGCAGCAAACAATGATGAGCTAGGAGTTGGTTAATATGTTGGTCAATTTAAATAAGCATTTACTTGGTAATAACCATGATGAAATTGTGTGGTGTTTATAAACATAGAATCAATATTCCACACAATAATAATCGTCCAATTGGTACAAAGAATGTAGAATGTAAAAAGAGTATAATTAAATTATCCTACATTTCAATTATCCTACATTTCCTATATTACTCAAGAAGAGAAAATGATTAATTTAAAATTTAATTCAAAGATGCATGTTAAAACTTAAGGATAACCTCCTAAAATAGAGGAGTAGAATACCTTATTTTCAACCCATTAGAGAAAAAGGGGACTAAAGAAAACTTGATCGATCTCACAGAAAATGAAAAAAAAGAAAGGAAGAAGAAAGTACACACTTGGATTTAAAAATAAATGAGCTCTGGCTGGTGTGGCTCAGCTGGTTGGAGCATCATCCCACAGACTGAAAGGTCACATGTTCGATTCCTGGTCAGGGGACATACCCAAGTTGTAGGTTCAACGCCCTATTGGGGCAAGAGGGCAACCAATTGATGTTTCTCCCTCACATGGATGTTTCTCTCCCCCTGTCTCTTCTTTCCCCTCTCTCTTAAAGCAATGAAAAAACTTTCCTCAGGTGAGGATTAAAAAAAAAAATGAAACGGTGAGGAGCTGGGTCATGGAACTGAAAGGGTGTTGTGACAGCTGTTGCTAGATCAAGTCTGAGCAGAACAGCAGGGCAGTCAGGCTGCTAACAATGAAGTGCAGGGTCCTTGCCTTTCTGAGATGTGTGTTTCTCCACTTCTCCTTTGTAATCAAAGCCAACTGCCGACTACAAAGAAAAGGAGAGAGAATTCGTTAGAGTTGAAGCTGATGATTCTTCCCCTCTCTCCCTTCCCCTTGCTCCCAGCTCAGCCCAGAGGCTCATTCCCAGGGGCCCAGGCCTGTGGGTGGGGGCGGCTAAGGTAGGAACAGAGCGCCCAGACAGGCTGGGTAGGGACAGTGTGCTACAAATCAGTGAGCACAGGCTCTGGACACTGACGGTTCTAGAGTCAAACCCCACCTCCCCTACTTACAGTTGTTTAACTTCAGGTGTGTCCTTTAATATCTGAGCCTCAGTCTTTTTAAATATAATAGGTATACCTCTCTCATTAACACCAACTGTAAAATGGACGAAGTGATCCCCCTTCATTTGGGATAGTGTGAGACTGTATGGGCCAAGGCGTATAAACGTGTTTTCATTGGGTTACTCAGTAAATTAGGGCTTTTTCTTCTAACTCTCAAGAAACTAAAATGAGATCATAGTGCCTTGTAAACTAGAAAGGTACAATGGACTTGTAAGACATAGTATCCTATTCCTAATTAATCATGCCATGCCTCTTCCCTTTCCTTGAACACAGATGTGTATTTTGGTGGGGTGAGAAGCAACCAGGACAGTCTGCATCCGAGCTGCTCCCCGGACTGGACACGGGTATTGGCCAATGTCCAGCATCACCGTGTAGCTTCATCTCCAGCTGGCTCAGTAACTATGGGTCTCTAAGTCAGTCTAGATTTTGCAACTTAAGAGCTATTAGTATGTATTGTCACTTGGTTTCTAAGATGCACTGATTGTTTAGATGATTCGGTGTGCGGCTGAGAGGCAGCAGTGAAAGCAAGAACAATGAAACATTAGGCAAAGGCAGGAGGGGGCCAAGATGGAAGAAAAATTCCAACCTGATTACAGACAACTATACTCAACATGCTCCATATTCCATTACTGCCTTAAAAAATTACCCTCTGCATATTTCCATTCCTTTATAGTATGTTTTTAACTTTTCAGGTGTTTTTTTTTTCCACCTACAATGAAATAACATCTAACAATTAGTTTTAAGGGCTCAGGCCTACAAAATAAACAACTGAAGGTTAACAAAGAATCTCGGCTAGCTGTGAAGGAGTGGTCCCCTCTGTGTGCAGCTGCAGGGGAGGGCACACTGTCTGCACCTAAAAAGAGAGATCTGAGAAGCGGACCTATGAAGGACCAAAACGGAGAGCATCCGTGAGTTGCCCCTTGCACTCTCGTGACCACTCTGTCATCTGTAATCACACCGTCCTTTTTCCCCTCTCTTCAAAATTACTTTTTCTTTTTTGTTCAAAAGTCTTTAAACCCCTGGACTTCAGGGATTTGGTGCTAAATAATGAGAAAAGTAACCGTTACCTTCTAAAAACATTGTAACCCTAATTAGTTGTTTTACTAGATTATCTGCTGTCATGGTAATAACATTGAAGCTGACATCTCTGTTTTCCTGGAAGGCACAAGTATGTATAAGGTTTTGATGTTTCCGGAGCTTTGGAATATCCCTCTTCTCTCTTCACGTGTACAGGTATAAAAAAATCAATGGTTTGGGGGATTCCTTATTCAAGCAGAGTTTGAGAGTCTTTGCCTCATTTAAACCAATGCCTTTCAGCTCAGTATGTGGCCTCCAGCAGTGACGCCAAGGGGCTTGCTGAGGGAGGTCACAGGATCTGTCCTCATGATGGACCCTCCTTGAGTCCACTGCCCTGTTTTTCACAGGAGAAGCACAGACCCACATTCAAGGGGTGTGTTGGTAAGTCCCACGTGATCTGAGTTGGGTGATGTGGGGAAGAGAGTTGTCACTTACCTTGTCTGCTCTGTCCTTCTCAACTCCGTATTTGCCCCCAAAGCCTCTGGCAGAATCTGTCTGAGAAGAGTGCTTTTCCACCTCAGCAACATACTCATGGCCCACAGCACTCTGAGAAAAATCAAGGACGGAATGAGTGACAAGATAAAAATGACCATAAAGAAATAAAATGATACAGAGATGGGATGGGATGTGACAATACAAGAAATTCCCTCCTGGGTCAGACTCATATCTCTGGCTTCAGTGCCAAGGAACACTCCATGGGAAGCAAGGTGACCCCTGCAGCCTCGCCTGCCATCCTGATTCTTCCCCAATACCACAGAGAGCGCATCATTCAGGAAACTCCCATAGGACAGGCCGGGAACCAGAAGGATAGAGACTAGGAAGACAGAGCTGTGGTTAAACCAGAAACCAAAAAGGGCTAAAACAAGGGCTTTGTGTGCTGAAATGGAAGTGAGGGTAGTTACTGGGGAGAGACCAAAGGGAACTGACTGGATGCCTTAGTCAGGACTGAATATTCACCTAAAGAGTCAGGCACTTTTGTTTTGAATCTTTTCTCCTCTAAGACCATCCAAGTTCAGAAGTGCCACCTGAGCCCTAACGTGTCCCAGTGACTGACTTTCCATACAGAAGGAGGTTGGGAGATGATACTGGGAGTAGTCCAAGGTGGCATGAAACTTAAATCTTTTCTCTTCCCCTCCACTTTTTATGCCATCTACTGATTTATTTTCTGTTTGGTTTTAAAAGTTAGGTCTCTTCTAATATGTAGGTATGGATGCTTAAAATTTGGGAATCGAGTAATACTTCAAACCAAATAATGATGTCTTGCAGAGGCTCAGCTAAGAAGAAGTTAGAAACTTCTCTTTCGCCCTGTATTTCCAGTCCCGTGCTGGGACAAGCAGCGTCAGCACAGAGCTGGCTGAAGTGTGGCCCCCTAAAAGCTCCTGGGAACTGGCTTTGCAATATTTAGGGATATGTGTAGGTCAATTTTGATTGTTGAATTTAAGAATCAATGACTGCTTTCTCCCTAGGAATTTCATAGGAGAATGCAACGCCTACATTGCACTTTGACACAAGGACAAAACAAAAGGCCTCTAAGGGTGAACTAAAAGCTTTCATTGGCTTTTTTTTTTCTCCATGAAGGTAAACCTTTTTCCTTTAGGAGTATATCTATCTTTGAGGTTAGGAAGGTCAAGGGAAAATATAACTCCATATGCAAGCATCCTTTTATCATACTTTTACAGCATTTAATGGATAAAATAAAAAATATTCATATTTGAGGGTTTCTCACAGATAAATTCATATCAATATTTTTCATACCTATGTACACACCATATAATATATGGTATATACATAAAAACACTAAATATACAATAAAGAAAATAAGAGAAGTTGAAACAAATATAATACACAAACATGTAAAAGCAGCACGTGATTGTAAAATACATTTTTCCCTTCTCTGCTTGTGCTTCCTGCATCCTCAGTCCAGGAGTTCCAGTGTGGCTGGGCCTACTGCAGTCAGCCCTTCTCAGTGCTTGGCTTCCACCTTCCACTGTATTTTATGCGTTGACATAGGGGAAAATAATACGAATAATATATGGACATTCTATTTTAAAGCCCAAATAAATATTGTACTTTTGAACAACTTTTAAATCATAAAACCAACAAATGAATGAATCTGTCTTTTTTTAAAGCAAGCATCTCCTTTTCAGCTCACCTTGTCCATTCGGTCTCTTTCCACACCAAACCGACCACCGTAGCCATGGGACGCTTTGGGCCCTGACTCCAGCTCCTTCTTCTTGAGCTTGTCATGCTCCTCCGACACTTTGTTCCTCAGCTGGTGGATGCTGGAAGTAACCACATGACAGAGACTCATCTAGCACAGGGATGTCAACCAACGCTCCTTCCCAGAAAAATGGAAATCTTGAGGTGTGTTCTGTTTATTTTTAGCAACAACCTGAGCCCCCAAAGTATATCACAGTTGGGTCCGGGGGTAAGAGATTAGTGTGGTCTGTGTACCATAGCCTGATACTTTCCATAAGCCAATAGTATTTTCTCTAGGCTGTTATTTTGCTTACTAAATACCCTGCTGACATTTAGTTCCATTTTTCATGTTCCTAAATATTAGAGGACAATGATATCCATATCCTAATAACTGGGGAATTATTTTCCTTCCTGAATGGATTTGCTTTCTAGCAATTAGGTACTCTATCTCAAGGAGCACAAAATATTCATATACACTTTTATCTACACAATCTAGTCTTGGGAGTCTAGCTTAAGAAAGAAATTTTAAATATGGAAAAGCTTAATGTCTAGTGACATTGTAGATAGTAATAGCAAGGACCAGGAAACAACTTAAATGGCCAATAACTGAAGAATAGTTAAATAAATTGCAATATTATCTTTCAATAGCATACTAGGAAGTCACTTAAAATGATACTTATGAAAAATGTAGCAGTGGGAAATTTATCTACATATTAAGTATGTTGTATATTTTCTTGTCAAACATGAATGTTCATCATCCCTATCCACAAATCTGAGGAGAACTGAAAACTAATAAAAGCTAATTAATAAAATTCAGTGTTACCACTCAAAGTTGCACCACTGTGAGGCTCCATTAACCTTGATTTGAGACACCTGCATCACTAAGAGAATTAACACCAAAAGCAGGCATTCTCCTTACTTCACTTCCATCTTTACCATGATGGTGGAGCACCTGTATATGCCTGTTGGTCTGAAGATATGAAGCGATAGCTCAGCATCAGCACCAGCACCAGCACCAACAAGTGACCATCAGGACTGACCCTTGGACACATATAAAGACCCCTGGAGATTCTTGGAGACATTTGGGCAAGAGAACCCTAAATAAAGTAATTGACTTCCTACAGCAAGAAATAAATGTTTAGGGAACTGAGATAGTGATGTTACTGGAACTTCACTAGCTCAGGTTGCAGGTAGAATGGCCATTTCACAGCAGAAATTCTCCCTTCATGGAAGAATAGATCCATCTGGTGGCCTTGTAGTATAAGCCCACCAAAGGCCTTTTTAAAAAGCCTTCTCAGCTTCAGTCACAGTTAATTTTAGAAAGCTGGCTTTGAGCCAGGTGAAATTAAACTAAGTGCTGGAAGAACCTTCTGTTCCCATGCCTGCGCTAAACACTCTGGCAGCACTGAAGGCAGAGATCCTGTGTTACTAGTTCAACCACCAACACTTTAGAACCATCTGTGTCAAGGAAGGTACTGGTTCCAAGAACATACAGATGACTGACACTTCCCAACCAACATACTCAGATGAAAAATGAAGAAAATAGGACTAAATGTTACTTTGAAATGTGAAAAGTCTGCAAAGCTTTAATGAATCCAGTGATTGTTACATGGGCCATAACTATATTACAGTTGAAAAAAATTTTTTAAATGGATTAGAAAATGAGATCCAGAAATACTACCTAAGGGATGGCAGCAAGGTTGGTCAGAGGATCATACCAATACATAATATATTTGAATGAAAATGTTGGGGCCATGGAAGACCAACTTCTTATCAAATTCTTTAGAATATAGTTGAAGCCACTTTAAGTAGGTCTTAGTTATATCAGTCTTTCACTCAATAAATTTTAATTATTTATTATTAAACTTTTGAGTGTGAGACATGGTTAGGCCCTGAGGACACAAAGATGACTGGTGTATGGCACAGGTGGCAAGCATAAGGCCCACAGGCCAAATCCAGCCCTCCACCTTGTTTTATCTGGTCTGGCACCTTGTTTCTACCCAACAGCAGTGCTGAGCTCCTTGCCCCTAGAGTAGTTACATTTATCCAGTCCTAAAATTACATTCGGCCCTTTGAAGGCAACCACGAGACTGATGTGGCCCCTGGTGAAAATGAGTTTGACACCACTGGTGTATGGAGATAGTGGTCAAGTGGAAGAGAAAGAAAAGAAAACAAAGAGTTACAATTTAATGTGTTTGGTGGCATACCTAAGAAACTTTTGACATGGTAACTCTCAGATGCCTATTTTAAAATACTTCAGAACTGCCCTGGCTGGTGTGGCTCAGTGGATTGAGTGCCGGCCCACAAACCAGGGGGGCCGCTGCTTTGACTCTCAGTCAGGGCATGTGCCTGGGTTGTGGGCCAAGTCCCCAGTTGGGGGTGTGTGAGAGGCAACCACACATTGATATTTCTCTCCCTCTCTTTCTCCCTTCCTTCCCCTCTCTCTGAAAATAAATAAATAAAATCTTCTAAAAACAACAAAAAAAAACCCCCAAAACAGAATAGAGAACCCAGGAGCATGCTCACACAAATACGGAAAACAAAACAAAACAAAACAAAACAAAAACCACCAAAACTTCAGAACTGTTAAAAAAATGCAGTTTATGGGAACCAAGTGAAGTTCAGGCCTCAAAATAGAGCTAAGAAAAGAAACAGATCTTTGTTTTTATTACAAAAATAAAAGCACAAAGGTGAGTAATTCAGACTATAAAATCTTACTCCCAACAAAAATTCTAAAGAATCTACAAAAAAAGAAAAAGTTGCTACTAGAACCAGTAAGTATATTTGGCAAGGTCTCAGGATGCAAGGTCACTATCAAAATCAATTTTATTTTAACATAATAGCCATAGACATTGCAAACTGAAAGTTAAAAATAAATGTGACTTACTATCACACGAAATAACATAAAATATTTTAGCATAAATAAAATAAAAATATTTTAACAAAATATATGTCAAGACATGAACACATGAAAGCATTCCTGAAAAAAATTAAATACAAATAAATGGAAAGATATCCCATGTTCATGTACCAGAAAACACAAGATCAGTAAGATGTTAGTAATTTACAAAATGATCCACAGATTCAATGCAATCTCAATCAAAATACCAACAAGTGTATTTATAGGAATTGACAAGCTTACTCTAAAATGTATGTGGAAATGTAAAATCCTGGAAGAGTAAATGTTTTAATTGGAAGACTATTTGATTTTATTATTTGTTATAAAGCTATAAGAATCAGTACAGAATAATATGGGGCAGGGAACACATATAGATCAATAAAATCATCTAGAAATAGAGCTCCATGTATTTGGCCAAAGAAGCCAGGTAAGTCATTGAGGAAAGAGTAGTCTCTTACTGGTGTTGGAATAATGAACTATCCATATGGGAAAAAAAATCAACAATCTTTGTTTCACACTGTACACAAAAATTTATTTGATCACAGGCTTAAATGTAAATGCTAAAATTATAAATATTTTAGAACAAAACATAGAAGAAACTTTTCATAATTTTGAAAGAGGCAAAAATTACTTAGGTACATAAAGCACTAACCACAAACATTTTTTATAAACTAGACTTCAGAATTAATATCTTCTGATCTTCAAAAGAAGCCACTAATAAAATGAAAAAGTGAGTTGTATTCTGGATTAAATATTTGTACAACACATATTTCACAAAAGACTTGTATATAGAATATATAAAGAACTCTTAAAACAATAAAAGTACAAACAAGCCACTTTAAAGGTGAGAAAAAAGATTTGAACAGACACCAAAATGAAAACATAAAGATACATGAATGGCACTTGAAAAGACACTCAATAAAATTACTCACCAGCAAAATACAAATTAAAATCACCACATATCCACAAGAGTGGCTAAAATGAAAAATACTAACAGACTAAGTGTAGACAGGGATGTGGAACAATTAAAAAACATACATTATTGGGAGGAATGAAAAATGGTATTAATAAATTACTATCAGGAAATAATTTGTTAGGACAGACTTCTGGTCAAGATGACAGCATAGGTAAACATAGCTTGCATTGCTGCAAACCACATTAAAATTATAATTAAATTATAGAACATCACTCAGAACCATCAGAAATCAAGCTGAATGGAAGTCTGACAAGTATGGAATTAAAGAAAACATATCCAACCAGACTGGTAGGAAGGGCACAGCTGCAGAATGGGCTGGTCCCACACCCACATGTGGTGGATAGAAATTTGGGAGGGATATCTCAGGAGCAAGGGGTCCCACCCCCACATCAGGAGCCCCAGCCCAGGGTTCCAGTGCCAGGAACATAAGTCCCCATAATTTCTGGCTACAAAATCCAGGGGGATTTAGTTGGTAGCAGAAACTGCTGGAGTTCCAACTACTACCACTTAAAGAATCCACACACGGACTTACTCAGTCTCACTCCCTCTGAGGTCCAGCACTGGGGTAGCAGACTGAAAGGCACCAGTGGTATGGGGGCGGGTGGGGGGCTGAAGTGCCTGGCATCAAGGTGAGAGCTGGGGGACAGCTTTCTCCCAGACAGAAAGGCAGGCAGACGCATTGTCCCTTTTCTGAACCTTCTCCCAGTAGAGTCACAGAGCCAGCAGCTGGTGCCATATCTGAGACTCCATCAACCTGGATAACACTGTTTGCCCTGCCCTGGAGATCCCCAGAGATTCTGCCCCACCCAACGTATGGGCCCACTCCAGCAGCTTTTACATATGAATGGCTGGTCTTGGCTCATGCTTTACAACTTCTTAAATCTTCTCAAACATGCAACAGCTGGACTCAGTGAGCCCACAGCCCCATACCTCTTAAGTGGCCCCAGACCCAACACCAGCAGCAGCCAGTGTAGATTCACAGATGGCATTACTTGGGAATCACCAAGCCCAGCACAAGTAGCAGCCTTCTCAGATTGCTTCATAGCTCAGGCAAGGTGACCTGAGGAAAAACACAGGTAGGGGCTGACCTTGGCCTGCAACAACCAGGAAACCCCAGAGCCTGTGCACCCAGTGGACAGTTACAGACCTTGTTGGAGCATCATGTCCCTGACCTTGTGCTGCTGCTCCTCCACAGAGGGTGGAGGTTGGTGGTCAGTGGTCACAGCCAGTTCTTACACCTGACTGGTCTGGGTAAATCCCTCCCATTGACCTGCCAACAACAATCAAGGCTCAACTACAAGAGGTGAGTGTATTCAGCCCACATGGAGGGCACACTTCAAGTACCCAGCTTGGTTAGGGAGGCTGTACTCTTTGACCCTAAAGGATATCTACTATATGAGGCCATGCTATCAAGACAGGGAGTCATAGCAGCTCTACCTAATACACAGAAACAAACAGAGGGAGGTTGCCAAAATGAGGAGATGAAAGAAACATGGCCCAAATGAAAGAACAGATCAAAACTCCAGAAAAAGAGTTCAATGAAATGGAGATAAGCAATCTATCAGATGACAGAGGTCAAAACATTGGTTATAAGAATGCTCAAGAAACTTAATGAGGACCTCAACAGCACAAAAAAGATCCAGTCAGAAATGAAGGATACACTAATTGAGAAAAAAGAACAATTTATAGGAAAACAACCATAAAGTGGATATAGCTGAGAATCTAATCAATGATTTGGAACATAAGGAAGAAAAAAACAAGCATTCAGAACAAGAAGTAAAAAGAATCCAAAAAAGCAAGGATAGTGTAAGCAGCCTCTGGGACAACTTCAAGCATTCCAACATTCACATCATACGGTGCCAGAAGGAGAAGAGAGAGAGCAAGAAATTGGAAATCTATTTGAAAAAATAATGACAGAAAACTTCCCTAATTTGGTAAAGGAAATAGTCATGCAAGTCCAGGGAGCACAGAGAAGCCCAAACAAGATGGATGCAAAGAGGCCTAATCCAAGATCATAATTAAAATGCCAAAGGTTAAAGATAAAAAGAGAAATTTAAAAGCAGCCAGAGAAAAGGAATTAGTTACCTATGCGGGGGGCGGGGGGGGTGCGGGGAGTGGCGTCCCATAAGACTGTCAGCTGATTTCTCAAAAGAAACTTTGCAGGCTAGAACAGATTGACAAGAGGCATTCAAAGTCATGAAAAGCAGGGACTCACTGCCAAGACTGCTCTACCCAGCAAAGCTATCATTGAGAATCAAAGGGCAGTTCAAGAGCTTCCCAGACAAGAAAAAAACTAAAGGAGTTCATTATCACCAAACCATTATTCTATGAAATGTTAAAGGGACTTATTTAAGAAAAAGAAGATAAAAAAGATGAGATGGGGGTTTAGGGGAATGCAGGACGAAGTGAGGGGATTAAGAAGTACAAATAGGTGGTTACAGAATACCCATGGGTTGTAAAGTGCAGTGTAGGAAATGAAGTGGCCAAAGAACTTTTTACACATGACCCATGGACATGAATGATGGTGTGGGATTGCCTGAGGTACTGGGGAGTGCTGGGTGAAGGGGAGCAAAGAGGGAAAGAGTGGGATAACTGTAATAGCATAATCAGTAAAATATAATTTAAAATTTTAAAAAGTAAATAATTCATTAGTCTTAAAAAGTTAAACACACACTTAATCTATGAATCAGTGATTTCGCCCCTAGGTATTTCCCAAAAGAAATGAAAACAGATGTCAGTGAAAAGATCTGAGCCCAAACGTTCAGGACAGCTTTATTTGTCATAGCCCTAAGCTGTCAACAACCTAAATGTCCACCAACAGGGTAACAGGTAAAACAAATTGTGGTATATCCATGCAGTTGGATACTACTTGGATAAAGAACCACAGAAGACCATGGATAGATCTTAAAAACATTATGCTGAACAAAAGAAGTCAGAGACAAAAGAAAAATGTCATATTATTCCATTACATGACACTATAAGACAGGCAAAACTAATCTGTAGTGATAAGAGGCAGATCAGTGTTTATGTCCACACAGGAGAGGGAATGGGAGTACTGACTGTAGAGAGGCACAGGAGTAGGAATGGGCATGAGTGACCAGAAGGAGATAGAGAAAAGGGCAACGACCCATGGAAACCAGGCAGTTCCTAGTAAACACCAGGCTGTTTGGCGCTGCCTGGCCCAGGACTCCTTTATACAATAGATGAGGGATAGAGAGGATCATTTGAGATATTCACCTAATCATGAAACCGATCCCCAAGCTACATTTATTTTAGGCAGACCTAAAAAAGAAAGATCACGGTGTGGGGGAAGGTAATGAGATTAGTGTGAACCACAATCACTTCCTTTTCCTGCTTTGAGTCATCTCAGTTCTGCAGCTACTGTTTTCTCCAGCTTCTCCTTCTTTCCCAAGGACCTCAGTGATTACCATATGATGGTAAAGACTGGCTGAGCTCACACTAACCAGAGAGAATCTTAGAGGACTCACTGCTGGAAGGTCCTCTAGAGGTCTTTTTGATTCCAACGGGAAAACTGAGAATATGAAAAGAGAAGTGATTTGTGCCAGGTTACCTGGCTAGTCACTAGCAAAGACTGGACTTTTACACCTTGGTAGTGTAGATAAATGGGAGGGGAGTAGGTTTCATATAAATATCTCCACTATTTATTCTATCATATGTAGATCCAGTAAGGCTAAGAAAGGAACATGCAGGGTCGCCAAATTTTACAACCCCAAGGGTCTCTAGTCATTGTAATGTAGGTACTAGATTATGCCACATGACAGTCCACGTAGACGCCACTTAGGAAGAAAGAAGACTGTCTTCTGTTTACATGTTTGTTAGGTTTTTAAAAGAGAATCTGTACTGACAAGAAAGAGAAGTAACAATATTGAGCTGCTAAGAGGTACTAAGTACTGCTCTAGACATCAGGACATATTGGCCCATTGAATTCTGCAGGGTAGCTATTATCATCCTCTTCTAACAAATAAATAAGCTGAGATTCAGAGACGTTATACGTCTAACTTCACATTGCTGGTAATGGCAGAGCTGTGAATGCAAACCCAAGCTCTGTCCATAAGGTTATGACAGGAATTTAGGAGTCTTCCTTAAAATGTTCTACTGCTATGCATGAGACAGGCACTGGGAGGGAAAAGGTACGAGGAGGTTTGTGTCTTAATCTTAATAACTGTCAAGATACCAGGGCTGAGTGGCCTTTACTCAGAAAAGAAAAGGGAGGGGTCTTTTTTTTTTTTTTTTTTTTTTATCGTTGAGCCTTCGGAAGGCACAAAGAAACTTTCTGCATGACCCTGATTCATTTTTTTTTCATCTCCCCAACTGCTACCAGCATTGCTTGGTTTGTTTAAGAATAATATTCATTGCAATTACTTAAAATAAACCATTCATGTCTGGTTAAACAACAATACATAGTACTCAATATTATCAAATTGTATACAAATATGCCAAGTTTTCATAGTGTGTTGCTTGTGCAATATGGCCATCCATCAGCATTTTTTAAATCTAGAGGAAAATAGGTTAAAAACACTGTTGTTATAGTTGGGGTGGGGCGTTAAAATGGAGCTTAAAGCTGTGTTAGTTTTGCAAATTTTCGTGTAGTTGTCAATTTTTGTATTTTATTTTTGCTCCTGTTTTACTGTTTATAGTGTCTACCTTGCTGCAAAAACTGGACATTCTGATACTATCCAAAGTAGGCAGCCCTGGCTAGATGATCCTGAATAGCCCAGGAAAGAGAAGAACTCTCTCAATCTGACCATACAATATAACCCACAGAAACCCTAGACAGGTCTGTAAGGACCTTCTCTTTTTACACTATCAGAGTTTTTTGTTTTGCCTTTTTTCTTTTAGTAAAATATTGGGTTATTATCTTTAGGACCCCTAAACACCAGTACTAAAATAGTTTTAATCAACAAGTTTCCAAGTGTCACATTTCTTCATATCACTTTTCACAGCTTCCAACTTCTATCAAGTAGCCAAATACATGTTTTTGTTTTAAAAATGATTCAGACTGGATGTTGGACTTGATATCATTCTCTTTTACAATACTAATTCTGAGTGCTTTACCTCTACATCTCACTGAATCTGCCATGGCCCACCTAAAACCACCCTAGATTCTAGGCATACATTTATATTTATGTGGATGGATGGATGGATGGATGGATAGATAGATGAATGGACAGATGATAGATAGATAGATAGATAGATAGATAGATAGATAGATAGGTGTGATATAACCTCAGCATAAGCCACTTCCTCTCTGAATCTCTTATAATAGACCCAGCTGGGGAAACAGCATAGTTGTTAGAAAGAAAAGAGAAATAACAGGGTTGGGGGGATAAGAGCAGACACATGAAACAGAAATACACAATGACATACATACACAGGAACACACAGGGACAGACTCATGAAAAGACTGGAGTGGTGAATATACAATACAGTGTACAGAGGATGTGTTATAGAATTGTGTACCTGAAACCTCAGTAATTTTTTAAAAGATTTTATTTATTTATTTTTAGAGAGATGGAAAGGGAGGGAGAAAGGGAGAGAAACATCGATGTGTGAGAGATACATCGACTGGTTGCCTCTCACATGCCCGTAATCAGAGACCTGGCCTGCAAACCAGGCATGTGCCCTGACTGGGAATCAAAGTGGTGATCCTGTGGTTCGTAGCCCGCACTCAATCCACTGAGTTACACTGGCCAGGGCGACCCAATAAATTTTTTTAAAAAGAAAAAGACCACAAAGACTCATAGACAGAAATTATCTTCTTTCTTTCCTTCCTCCCTGAGTCTCCAAAGTTTTCCTTGGGCTCTTCCCACATTCTTTTCCCACTCCCCTGTCTATTTGGCACCTACTTGATATGCTCTGTGCGTCCAGAGCCCTCGATGGTCTTTGCTCCCCATCGTTGCTCCTTCTCAGAGATGTCATTCTGCAAAAGACAGCACTCAGCAGTTAAGAGATGGCAAGAGATGTGCTGCGCTGAGAGGGGCCACACAGCTGACACACATGCCCTCCATGTCCCCTGCATCTGCTGCCTCCTTCAGTCAGATGCCTCTGTGTGTACCCACATGGCCCCCATGTTAAATTAGACTGGTGAGCTCTAAAACCTCCCTTCCTACTACATCCTCACACTGTCCCCTTCAGGTCTCCTACGACTTCAGAATCCCCCCAAATTACAAATGTCCAGCCTAACTCCTGGCTCATAGGCCAAAAGAGACCCAGAATAACCTGCTCCTTCAGCATAGTCTGTCATGGCCCATCAATCACAATGTCAAACTCCTCTCCTTCTCACCTGTCTCCCTTCTATCCTCAACATCAAATATCATGCATGCCCCACTCATTACAGTCCATTCCTTCATGAGGGCTCTCTCGGCCCCAGACTGTCCTTTTTCTATGCACCCGCAAAGGCTACAGAGTGGCCCAAATGCTGCCTCTTCACCTTTCATTATCCAAGCAAAGCCATTTCCAAACTCACCACAAAGTCAGGGTCTGTGTCCCAGTCATCACCCTGGGTCTCCACGGAAACAGATACATCATGTCCTACGACCGACTTCCACATCTGAGGGTGAGAAAAGATGGCAATTAATTAGAGGAGAAAAATCAAGACCAGGGAGAACAAGAATGCTGATGTCAATGAGATAGCAGCTCAATGTTTCTTGCCACTTTTTGTTAGAAGATAATAGAAGCGGAGGCAAAGCAGATGGGAGTTTTAGGAAGCTGCCCCAGGGGAATTATTTACAAACGAACATGGCCTGGGCTCACTGGAGTCTGGAGAGAAGTCACTATGGGTGTAGGTAACACTAAATAACTGGGCGTGAAAAGTGCTGGGATCATTCATTTGCCAAGAGACTGGCCAGGCAGTGGCTTGAAGTGGCAATCAACGAGGGGTGCTCAACATCACTAGAATTACAGCACCATTTCACTCAGGTTTCTACTTATGGCTTTTTTCATAGCTATCAAAATATATATCTCTTGATAGTGAACATCTGCATGCCGCTCTACAAACTGCTTTACTCTATTAAGCAGTTTTCTAACTCCTAGTGCAAGTGCTATTCCACCTCCACTCAGACCGGCCACTGAACAGAGGCATGAGGTCAGCAGGGCTGGAATTCCTGGGCTGGGCAATGCATGGGGAAGCATTATTTGCCTAGAATAAGTCACTTATTTTTCCATTTTTAAAAACAGGTCAATTATATTTTGAAAGAAAATAACTGATGCAAAAATGGTATATAATAAATCCCTCATTTTGAACATTAGAAGTTATATTTTTATTAACTAACTAAATGATAAAGAACTGCTTAGAGAACACCAGTTGGAAGGAGTACCAAACTTTTATTCTACTGAGACATCCCCAGGGTTTTCACTGGCCCTGAAAATTGTGCACGAGGAGGAGCTGCACAGTTGCTCTGCATTTGTGGGTTCCCAGATCTTGGTGGGAAGAGGAAACAGGCAATGCTCATCTGCTCTGATGGCTGCTGAGACTTCGTGACCCTGATACCACTTGCTAGCTGGCAACTCCCCTGCCCATCCCTCCCTGCTCAGACTCCTCATCCCACTGGTGTCTTTCCCATGCTCTTCACTGTCTCTTAAAGGAATCCCTCTTACAACCACTCCTGGGACACTGCAGCATCACCGCCCAGGCCCCTCAGAGTCTCTAAGTTTCCTCTCCAGTTTAAAACTCCTTTTCCATGCTCCTTGAAAAATGCCGTGGAGCCCTGGCTGCTGTGGCTCAGTGGATTGAGTGCCGGTCTGTGAACCAAAGGGTCATTGGTTCTATTCCCAGTCAGGGCACATGCCTGGGTTGCAGGCTGGGTCCTCAGTAGGGTGCGTGTGAGAGGTAACCACGCATTGATGTTTCTCTCCCCCCCTTCCCATCTCTCCAAAAATAAATAAATAAAATCTTAAACAAAAATGAAATAAAAATGCCATGGAAACCAGCCCAAGGGAAGTTTGCGGTAGATTGATTAAAGAGATGCAAGGAAGACACCGGAGACGTATTGACTAAGTCAGCTGCACTGTGGGATGAGTCACTGCTGAGACCAGCTTTACCTTCCCCTGTGAGGCAACAATTATAGATGGGGGGAGGGAAGATAGACAAGACCTAGGTCCTGGCTCCTAGGCTGCTCTGCAAGAAGAGGACTTCACACAGAAAACTGTAAAGGAAACATTTCTGAACTATTCATGAGCAATAAGAAAGCAATGCAGACTGATGGTCCTATTCTCTTCCCTGCTCTTCCTCCAAGGTCTCAACCTGACTCTCCCATAAATCTTCCATCCTCATGTGTTTTTGAAACTAAGAGAAGTTTCTGACACGAAGACAACTGAATATCCTTGAGCTACTGGCATACCAAGTATACTATCCAAGACAAACTATCTAGAGGTAGGAGCCCGGAGAGTAACTTAGAGAGGCATGGTGCCCAGAACATCGAGTGCCACCAAGGGCCTCATCATAAGGCTGCCTTATAGCGTCAGTAAAGCACATGGATAGGGAGCCAGAGGATCACCCAGCTCTATTACTAAGCCCTGTGGAAACATGGGTAAGGGGATCAACAAAGAATACGTACTTAGTTGCCAGGTACCAGGGTAGACATTTCATGAATATTAACTTAAATAATTTGGTAAATCATTGAATGTCTCAGATGCTCAGTTTTCCCCAGTGGAAAAATAAAGAGCTTAACCTAGCTAATCTATAAGGTTTCCTCCACTTCTGACATTCTGGGATTCTGTGATCATACAATCACAGAAACCAATCCTATTCCCACCATCATCCTATTTGGCCTCCGTCACCTCGTGGTTCTCAGCACTGGTGTACATGAGCAATTACTTCCTAAGCTATTACGTCACTTATGTGAATTGCCTCTCCCTGGTAAATCATACTCTCCAAAAGCAGAGATTTGGTCTTTACCTCCTGTGGCCCTCCTCCCAATTCAGTGGCTGGGAGCAACCGGTCTTGAGAGAGGACTGTAGACTCTGCAGAAACCAGGGGGTCTGGACTAGATGGGTGCTGGATCTTGTTCCCTGGGCTCTAGCCACCCACTTGTTTCCATCCCCAGATACTCATTGTCCACAACCACGCCCACACAGACCTTCTGGCCATAAAAGGTTAAAAGCCTACTAGCCGTGACTTCATCTCTCAATAAGGAGTTAAGAGTGAGGTAGGTTCCTCTTACCTCAACTCTTGCGTTGTGCTCCCTTTCCCACTGCTCAGAGTACCCACCTCCAACAGCGCGAGTGTCTGCTCGAAGCTCCCCACTCCTCACGTCCACACTTGGCTCCTTCTCTTGCTGCTGCCACTTCTGAGCGAGAAAATGAGCGGCTGCTTCAGTTCCGTATTCAGGTTTTCTGTCATTTCCTGCCACTGTGTCCTCACAGCTACTTCCTGAAGTTTGAGTCAGTTACTTCTGCTTAGGCACTTAACACAAAAAAAGGACTAAATGCTTCATCTTTTGCAAGACTTTGAAAGTCATAGGGAAGTTAAAAAAAAAAAAGTTCTTACTCTCAGAGTTTATAGCTAGTCAGGGAAGCAAAACATTCAACCAAAACCAAATTTGTGTTCTAAATATGTGGGCGGTTGCATGTGCAATGGAAAGTAGACAGTTTGGTATTGGCTAAAGAAATCAAGAAAGGCTTAATGGGAAAAATAATTTTTATGTGGACCTTGCAGGGTAAGATTAAACAAACTCACTTTTACATTTCCCACAGCACTTAAAACTGGGGTTTGCATATAGTAGGTGTTCAAATAAATATTGATCAATCGAATGATGAAAGGGGACAAGTCACAGGGGAAAGGCAAGACATGGAGGGAGAAAAATTCAGATCACTTAGGAGACAGTGAGGAGTCTGAGCTAACTCAGACAGAGCTGATTCCTAGTAGGAAGACGTCTGGAAGAACTAGGTGATACCAGATGACAGGAGGTCTGTGGCATTTTGCACTACTGTTCAAGATTTGCTGCCCCTTCCTTCCTTCTTTAAGTTACACTTGCTCAGGTAACTTGTTTTGGCCAGTGAAATGTGAGTAACTAAATACTGGGCTGGCCAAAGAGTCTATGTGTTTTTTTCCATAAAGTAAAAGACACAGTTTTCATTTTCACCAATAACTTTATTGATTTGGATATTTTGAGTATGTCAGCTATCTCCCACATGGTATAATGTTGATTGTTCTCAATTAATGTCTCAATTCGTTCACTCTCAACTCCAACTGCTCTACCCAACTTCGTCCAGTGAACATCGTCCAGTGAGAAATCTCTAGCGTGAAACTTCGAAAACCACTTTTGACACATTCAATCAGTCACAGCACCTTCTTCATATTGCACAAATCTTTTTTTGCCTTTTGGTTGCATTTTTACCTTCTTGAAAAAACAAAGGGTAATATGACGAAAATGTTCTGTATTTTCTTCCACCTTCAATATTAAAATGGCTACAAAAATTCACCAATTTTGATGTTTTTTAACACATACTAATATGACAACTGTCACAATATGATCAAACAAAATTGTTTCAAATGAAGTTAAAGACAACTAAGCACTACTACAGCCATCTTATGGAAAAAAACAAAACTTTTTGGCCAACCCAATACTTAACTTTGTGGTGGAGACTATGACCAGAGCAAGCTCTGTCATCCTTTTGCCCAGTGCCCACCACCTGCAGTTCTGCGGTGGGGGCCCATTCTCAGTTGGGAAGTGAGAGAGGCCCAGATGAGAACAGCAACACTCAATCTATTGTGTGAGGGAGCTGGAGCCTTTGACTACAAAATAATCTTTTGTTATTTTAGCTGCTGAAAATTAAGGGGTGTTGTCATTGTATCTGACCTAGCTTCTCGTAATATTGATTGAGGTAGAGTTGCGACCTGATTTGCTCAGCAGTGAGCTCCCCAATAAAGCAGAGACTGGATGAAACTAGTCTAAGATACAGAGGAGGGAATTTCTGCATTAGGAATAAGTAAGATTTTAATTACTTCCAAATCTAAGGATTCTGTGCCTGGGGGGATTTTTATTTAGAGCTCTCCTACTTCACATCCTATTTATTGTGGCAGTACCAAAGTAATTTGAAGGATAAGTAGATTTGTAGAAGGGGAAATCTCAGATCATTTAGAACCCTAATTCAGTGTTGAAAATAGGAATGATCCAACCAGATGTTACGATACACCACCCAGGTAATTTTTTTGAGAAACCATAAAATTTAATTAAAGGTGACACCAAGAAAAACTGTTTCTCCTTAGCAAATGTCCTCAGCTCATTCCCAATGAGAGGCAGTGAGCTGTTGCACATGAAATAGCATGTGCTTTGAAGACAGATAGATTTAGTTAATTTATTTATTGTATCTTGAGAAAGTAAGTCAGATTTCTCAAGCAGCAACTTAATATAAAAATATAATAAAGCCCAACCCACTGTACCTTAGACTACCCTTTCCCCACTCCCACTCAGAGGGACTCCATGGGGTCTCATGTTTTCAATATGCACCAGATAAGAGTTCTCCCAGGCCGAGGTATAAACCTGCATGAATGTCATGCCTTAAAGCCCAACTTGTTTGGTTCAGTATCAGGATGAAATTCTTCACTCTACTTCACTACCCTGGCTGGGGTCTAGCCGCTAAGCTGCAAGGACACATGTAGCCATTACTGATGTTGGTCAGTGAGAAAGGAGTCGGAATATGTAAAGCTTTCTACTCCTGTATCCATTCCTGGCTACCCCACTCCCACATGCCCCATCTACCTTCTTCCCCTCAGCACCCAACAGATGTACACACACACACACACACACCACCATTTTTCATTCTAAAAATAATTTTATTATTTTACAGTTATTCAGGAAAGTTCCTAGATTGTGGTGACCAAAGCTTGGTCACCACAGAACAAACGATTAGAGCATATCAGTCAGTTCACCAGTTTTCTTTCTGGATGGCAAGAGCGAGCTGGGAAGACATCATGTGCATGACGAGAAAACAGTAACAGCGAAGGGCTGAGGGTGGGGAGGTGGGGAATAGGCACAAGTGGAAATCAACCAGGCTGTCATTCTCAGGCCTAGATTTAAGTATTGTCTTCTCCATATTCTCCCTTCATTTCCCTTAGCTCTGTTACCACAAAGAGCAGATGAATATGAAATTGAGAAAGTGGAATAACTGTTACCAACAGCAAAGTAGCTTAGTACTTCAAGAGCTGGGAGTGGTCTCCAGATCACACAGATCTCCCTAGCCGGGGGAGTCGATGCCTCACTAGAACTGGCTCCTAGTGTACTGTGATAGGGCCCCCATTTGAGGCATATCCAGGTAACACAGAATGACAAGAATCTGAATCCCACTGCCTATAGCCACCTCTTCCTGCCTGCCAGTGAAAAGAAAGGCACGGGCCACTCAGTACCTTAGTCCACATGTGATCAAGGGCATAGGCAATGGGATCCTATCCTTACAGTTCAGGACCATAAATCTTACTCCAGTGATGTCTGAACAGCCAGGGAAAATGTTGTCCTCCCCCGTGATCCAATAGCTAAAACCCATGGGGAGTTCTTCAGACCCTGGGACCTAATCAGGTTTCCTGAGATAATATTCCCCCAGAACTTTGTTATAGCGAGCCCACCTCTCCCCTGAAGCAAGAGAAAATAAATATAAGGTGACCGAAGCAAATAAATTATCAATCAAAATGATATACGACTTCAGATTATCAGGTTTATTGGAGCCACCCTCCTGGCTGAAAACATTCCTCCGCATCTTTCACAGGACCACAAGAGATCAGGGCCTGACAAAATCTGAACAAATCTTGAGCTCAGCAACCAAATATGGGGCCTCCTCAGCATTTCTGTTCCTGGGCAGCAGAAGAAAGCAGACCTGATGGTTCCTGTAGCTCTAACCTGGGCTCACTTTTTGCAGGCACTTTCTGTGGAGACTTGGAGAGAGGACTTGTAAGTGGGAAGACTATTCCACTGGAATTGATGGTTTTGATATCAGAGATGAGGGAACTGCAAGTTCTGAGAGGAGTGTTCCAAAAGGTGAGAACTAAGTTTATAGATGGCCTGTGAAACACAGAATGAGCAGGACATGAACCATCAAAAAGTAGACAGCTGCTAGCAGAGGCACTCGGGTCCGGGAGTGACAGAGCGAACGCAGGATCCGCTTCCATCCAGCACCACTCCGTGACTGAAAGAAAAATTTGGAGGTCAGAGAGTTCCCCCCTATAGAGATATGTTCTTTTTCTTCCTCCATCCCTGCAGAAAAGAGATAACCTGAAAGTCCTCTCAAAGTCAAAAAACTGCCAAATCCTACCAGTTTCCTCCAACCTTCCATATCTTTCCAGTCTTAGCCCCATTAGCTGCTCAGTGCCTGGAATTCCAGAGTCCTTCTCCTGACCCTTTGCCTCAACACAGCCGGCCCTGGAGATAGTACAGTACTTGCTCTTCATCTATAGCCTTCTTCCCTTCTTACCCTTCGACAGCTGTTGCCTGTAAGGTCTATTAACAGTGCCTGCTCCTGAGTGCCACAGGAACCAATGATAGGAGTCCGGGCAGAGTCCCATTCACTGTGCTCCAACCTGTATTGAGAAAAACAGGAACAGCATTGGTTCACAGCATGTGAGGTGGATCCGGTGGAGTCATCCCACTCATTTGCCACAGGATGTAGCACAAGAGACTTGCCACAAAGACTGGTTTCTCATCCCAGATCCCATGCAAGGAGGGCACGGGCAGACAGGTGTCTTTCAGCAGCAGTACAAGGTGATAATAACTACCAGGATTGACTGGTACTGGGCCTAGGTAGGCAGTACTTGACTGGCTACTTCAATTTCCATTCTGCATCAGGGCCAAAGAGAGAACTGTGGAAGGGCTAAGCTTGGATTAATGTAGCTTGTCCACAGACTCAAGAGTCACCTGCACTATGCAGTTGCAAGTTGACTTGGGACAGGTCAGTCACACATGAGGAAAAGGTCTCCCCCAAAGGGCAGGGTTTCCAGGTCTGAGCAAGTCCAGAGCAAGTGGCAAAGAAATAGCCATGGGTGCACTGGCTGAGAATACTCAGCAGAGACAGTAAAGCTCTATGGATCCCCAAAGAGCCCACCCTCAAGGCTGCAGACCAAGGCCAAAGGAGTGATGAAAATTAAGTAGTAGTGAATAATCTGGGTGGGAAAAAAGGTATCTCAAATAAGACCTGCTCACTGGGGCTGCCACCTCTGCCATCTAAATTTTGTAAGCCATTAATATCACAAGTGCCACTCTCTGAGGCAAGAGGCAATATATGTAGTTGACTCCCACAAGCCCCCAGAAATAATACAAACAAGTGCCTACTTTTAATGTTTCTTTTCCATGGGAAAGAAACACCCAGCAGCAAAATAATTGTAGCTACTCTCTCTCATGTAGGGTGAGTCTCTTGACTGGTGAGTCGGGAATAA